AGCCCTGCTGGATTGGAGACTCGGAACTTAAAAAAGATTGAAACTTTGGGACTTCGGGGACTCACTCCTTCAGATCTGGTGCTCGGCGATCATCAACGTCAAATAAGGCAGGTGTTCGAGAGGATCAGATCTCAGATCTACGCGTACGAACTCCGGATCTAGGCTTGGTCTTAGATCCCGAGACTTGGACGATTGTTTCCTTGGTGAAACAATCCTCCCCGGCTATTATTTCCTTGGTGAAATAATACCCGTCGTACTGCGTAGATCCGACCGGATCTAGATCTCGCGGTGGTCCACGGCAAACAACCCCGGCGCAGGCAAAGAACCCACAAAAGCGAGCGACCGCAAAACAGGAGCTCGCGATTCGTTCGACATAAAGGAGAAAAGTTGTAATCTTTGTTTATTTTTATTTGATTTTCGTTGTAACCGGATCTTATAAAAAGACCGGATCTTTTGTAACTCAAAAAGTTGTAACTCAAGATGACAATGGAATCAATAACAAAGAAAAACACGAATTTTCCCGCGAACACCACCTGATGAGAGATGGGAAGCTTTAAGATAGAAGCATCATTGAACGTGACGTTTCTACTCAGCACTGTAGGCATCAAAAATTGCCTATAGTTCTCCACAACCGGTTCAGTGATTAACGAGCGACGATGAACGTCACCATCCAATCCACATGAGCCTAATCGACGTCGACAAACGACCGAAGTGAATCGACGAGTTACGTGAGCGGATAGGACTTCGGAATCACGAAGACCCGGACCAATCGGGAAGCCCAGCACTGTTCACAAAAAAGGACAACGCCCTTCATGCCTCGACCACTCTACAGATAATCCTATCACCAGAGCGGATCAAACTCTTCGTCACGCATCCAACGCATCCGGAATCACTCAAATCCAAGTTCGTACGAAGAATCAACGGCAAACGCACCCGGAAGGACCTCGGACTGAACTAGGGGCACCCGGGGGTGTCTTGGCAAGCTCGAAACACCCGAGGGGTGTCTTGGCAACACCAAGACACCCCAGGGGTGTCTCGGCCAGGCCGAGACACCCCAGGGGTGTCTCGTCATTCCCCCTTCTCTTTTCCTTAGTATTGGCCTTTAGCGGTGATACTAAGTAGAGCTGGTGTCTCGCTTTAGCCGAGATATAAGCTTCATAGCTTCTTAGATCCCCCGCGGATCGACGAAGCTCTGTCCGATTTTTCGGGATCAGAAGTTTCTAAATCCCTTCGCGGATAGACGAAGCTCTGTCCGATTTATCCGGATCAGATCTGAGTGCCCCGGTGGTCCACGGATATCAACATCCCCGTCACAGGCCAAAGACCCACGCAAGCAAGAGATGATAAACGGATCTTGCGTTTGTTTGAAAGGAGTTGTATTTCTTTTGTTTTCATTGTGTAAAGGTCTTATAAAAAGACTATCTTTTTATTTCATTGTAACGATCAAAGTTGTAATGAATGCAGCAATGAATACAGCAACTTTTTCCGCAAACAAGCACAATCTTCCTATCAACTGGATCCCAAACCTTATATCCCTTGATACCACACTTGAATCCTACAAATATGACCTTCCTAGCTCAAGATTCTAACTTATCAGTATTCATATGATAGTATGCAGGGCACCCTAATACCTTGAGCTGATCATAATCGTATACTGGCTCTCCCGAACACATCTCTATAGGGGTCTTCCCCTTAATCGCAGATGAAGGCAGCTTGTTAATGAGGTGGCTCGTATATGAAAGTACCTCGGTCTAAAATATCTTCTCCAAACTACTATGCGCCAACAAATATCGTATCTTCTCCAACAAAGACCGATTTAACCTCTCTGCCACCCCCATTCTACTATGATGTATGACTAACTGTGAAGTATCTCTCTATGCCCTCGTCTTGACATAGCTGCTAAAAGGGGTATGATGTGTACTCACCATCGTTGTCGGACCACAACGTCTTGATCTTTCTCCTAGTCCATAGTTCTAACCTCTTCTTCCACTCTACAAATATATCTAGGACATCACTCTTCTTCGCCACAGTGTACACCCAACAACACCTAGAATAGTCATCAACAAACATGACGAACCAATGTCTACCGCTAAGTGATGCAGTCTTGGTGGGACCCCAAACATCTGTGTGCATATAATCCAGGATGCCCCTCGTCCTATGAATGGTTGTCCCAAACTTCACCTTCGTCTTCTTGCCAAGAACATAGTGCTCACAGAACTTAACTTTTTCACTATTGGCTCCCTTCAATAGCCCCTGTTTGCACAGCGCCTGTAGTGACTTCTCTCCTGTGTACCCCAATCTGTAATGCCAAAGTCTACTAATGTCCACCTCTGAAATAGCTAAAGTAACCTAGTCAATCACGGTTCTCCCCTTCAGATAATACAAGTTCCGACTACGGACTCCCTTCATCATCACTAAAGATCCCTTAGTAATCTTTGCTACAGCATCCTCAAAGGTCACCTTGAATCCCTTCGCCTCCAAAACTCCAACTGAGATAAGATTTTTCTTCAACTGAGGAACAAATTTCACCTCCTTTAATTCACGGACTACACCATCGTGCATCCGAATCCTCACAGTACCTATCCCACAAATGCCATAGGATTGATCATTTCTCATGACAACAATACCCCCATCGAGTCTCTCAAATGATAAAAACCAATCTCGCCTAGGAGTCACATGATAAGTAGCGTCTGAATCAAGCATTCAATCTGATGCATCCAAATGGTTCACCTCTAGAGTAATCAATAGAGAAAAACTCGAATCATCGGAATCATCGCCTTTTGTAATATTCACCTCATTAGCCTTCAGGCCCTTCTTCTTGCTATTCTCCTTCTCATTGATCTTTAGACAGTCTCTATTCCAATATCCCTGCTCCTTGCAGAATGCACATTAGTTCTTTCCTAGCTGGTGACGACTTCTTAACTTTGACCTTCCTCTATTACCACTTTTGGATATGGGCTTCTACCTCTCGTCGACAAGGCCTCTCCTGAAGTACTAGCATGGGAAGACTCTTTGTCCTTCCTCCTCAAATCATAGTTTGTCAAATCATTAGTAACTTCACTATAGCTGATAGAAGACCTCTCATTCAACAAAGTGAGCATGAAAGTATCATACTCCTCATCCGGTAAGGAGCCCAACAAAATAATCGTCTTGTACTCATCCGATATCTTCTCATTAAGGAGCCCAACAAAATAATCGTCTTGTACTCATCCGATATCTTCTCATCAATATTCGCCAAGTCCGACAACAACTTAGTGTAGTTGTTCATCATCAATATTCGCCAAGTCCGACAACAACTTAGTGTAGTTGTTCACATGAGCCGCTAGTGAGGTGCCTCGGGACATATGAAATCTGAACAATCTTCACAGCAAGTGCAAACGGTTCTCAGTACTCTTCGTAAGGTACTTATTGTTGAGAATTTCCCACATATTCATTGTAGACGTCACCCCAATCACATCATACTTTAATTCTTGTTCCAAACAAGATCTGATCACCCCACAAGCATTCTTATTCATCTTTTCTCATATCGCCTCTTCATATTTTGGTGGTGTTTCTTGGACCATGATGGTCTCCTCCAAATTCTGAGCATTGAGCGTATCTTGAACGTCGCTCATCCACAAACCAAAGTTGATCTTGTCGTCATACTTCACCATACTAATTTTAGTGTTCTAAAAACCAACTTGGAATGTACTCGTCATCTTGCTATTTTCACCAACTTTTTCACCCATACTCGCAAACTCTAAATTACAAAGAAAGATTTAAACTTTGAAAGAAATAAGAAATTACTCAACTGAACATTAGATTGGATTCCAAATAGAACTCCTAACCACACGAGGAAAGCGAGATCTCCAATGGCAACTTTAAATCCTATCTCTACCGAAGCCTAGAACTCTAAGAACCAAGCTTCCACGACGAATCTTCCTCCACCTAATGCTAAAACCCAAGATCTGAAATCTGAGCTCCGATACCAATTGTCGCGCGCCTATGCGGAAGCGTGCTCGTTCACCAAACAAGTCGTAAGCACGGGAGAAGAATAACCAATCACACACGAGCACAATTCAAAACTGAAATACGACAGATCAATCACAAACACAAAGATATATGTGGTTCGGTAATTTGCCTACGTCCATGGGGAGAGGATGGGGAGATTCCACCAAATCAATGAGAGTACAAAGGGTTGCAATCTCACAAAACTCACAAACTAACCCTCAACCAAAGCTCTCAACTTGCTCACAATATCTCCCGCTCACAATGCTCAAAAGTCTCTCTAATGTCTGATTACAACTCTCCTCTTATTGATGATCCTAATCTCTTCTAAAGCGTTCCATATTTATAGAAATCCTAAAATCAAAACAGACTAGGAATTTTAAAACCAAAAACAAAACAAATTAGGAATCCTAATAACCTGTTACCAAAACAGATTAAGAATCATGTTAAATCCTAATAACCTGTTACCAAAACAGATTAAGAATCATGTTACCAAAATAGATTAGGAATCCTAATAACCTGTTACCAAAAAGAATCATGTTACCAAAATAGATTAGGAATCCTAATAACCTGTTACCAAAACAGATTAGGAACCTGCTATGCAACACCATTTTTATTCGGAGCATAATTCACCTGACTGATTTGGCTTAGGGTCCTTATGGGCATTCTGTTCGCTTCTGTACCACCTAGTGACATTTTGATTTTGTACAATGTTTTATTAGACGTCATTAGAATTTTACTATGATCGGTTCTCATGTAGAAATATGAGGATCATGACATATAGCTGACCAAATTCTATAAGGAGTTTCTCAGGTTTGATCATATAATATTTGTACCTTTTTCATTATTTTGGGTATCAAAACTATGATATCTCTTGTATTTGTTTTCTTCTCTGATGTAATTTGATTCTAATAGTTGGAAATAAATGTAATTTTGATACTTGTTTTTATTAGTCTATATTAATATTGTAGAATTTTCCATGTTTTACATGAAAATTAGAAGGGGAAAAAAAAGAAAGGAATATTGTTAACATTACACATAAATTTGGAAGGGATTATACATGTATTACATATTATTGAGTAGAGAGTGGAAAGCCAATCCCATGTCTAGTAGTGGGGAAATTAACAAACAGCATGCTTGCTATAACTCCAATCGCCACCGGCAACATCGTCAGCATCTGTTTCGTCTCCTCCGACAGGATCGGATAAAAACATAACACCACATTATGATCAAGCAAAGTCACCGCAGCAAATACCATCACCGCTGTAATGGCATGAATAAAATCAACAATCATAATCCTGTAGCTGACAGTCATCTCCGTCGGCAAAGGCTCAGTTCCGTCAATAATCCACAATCCATTCCAGGTCGCAATCCCATGTCGAACATTTCCAGCTTCATCGCGAATGCTGTCGGTTAGGCTGAGGATGAAGCAGGACAGAGCGCAGAGAGCAACGAGGTATGCAGTCATGGTTTGGTTTGCGACAGAGCATTGACCTTCGTTTGTGAAGATGGGCGATAGGATTTGGAAGGTGAGGACTGTGCCAGTCGGAAGGTGGTTGGCAAGGTGGGCCGTGCTTTCGAAGGCCTTTTGCCTTGCTCTTTTGGCCGGAATCGTCGCATCTTTGTTGTTGTTAGTTGTGGTGATGCCGTAGAATTGTTCAGGGTCTAAGAGGGGTTGGTTCGATTCGTCCTGCAAAGCCTCTTCTATATCCATATTGAAGGCTTAAAAACTGAAATATTGGATTATGTGATTCTTGGTGTTTAATTTTTGGTGTTTATCTTGTTTGTTATTATATAGAGAAAGGTGGATGAGATTTCTTGCAAGAAACATGAGTAATGGATCTGATTTAAGCTTTCTCTTGACTTGTTCTTCCACATTATTCCAGGTCTAACTCTTGTATCATACATTAACATGCTATTGTTCATTGAAATTAGAATTGTTCAATGAAAGCAATCATATGTAATGCATGAGAAAAGATCATGTCCATCAGACACATGTGATAGAAAATACCAAAATGAATGTTTGATGGATGCTTCGTCTGAGGTCAAAAGGTTGCTTGTGATCAATTTCCTTAGAATTTGAGAATGTTATAATAGCTGGTGAATTCTTCAGAGTTAAGCTGCCAATGTGTTGTATACTACTTGCAAAATTGCTCACATACTTACTCAATATAGGTAGTTTGTTATGTCAATTTACGCATTGGGATCTGAAGGATTACGAAGGAACTCATAGCTGATCTTGGAATCAATTTGCTGGAAGTAGTTGGTGGAGTTCTAAATTAATGATACAATTGTTGTTCAGAAAAACTATATGAATTAGGGCCTAGGCTAGATCCCCAGAATCCAAGCCCAACTTAACAAGCGCAACCCGTTGTATCGTTTTATTTAATTTTATTAAAACCGAGCCTCGATCAAATTCTTCAAACGGTCGTATTTATATACTATACTTGGACTAATGTTGAAGTACCTCCATATGGTGGTCCCTTTCCCGAAGCACCTCATCCGGCCCCCTTGCCTTCTTATTGCTCTCGTCAAGCTCTCACCTAAGCCTTCCAACCTTAGAAGCTCTTTGGGCCGACGACTCCGTCGCCCATTCCGAGTCGGCCCCCCCTACCGTCCCTCAGGGTAGTTACCTCCCCTAGGAGCTTCAGATAAGAAGTCCGGATATGTTCCATCCGGCTGAATGTCTCTTGCTCCACCAATGCGCCTTCGCACCAAGTAGCTCTGGAGACTTTGGTGGAGACCAGCATTGAGGACCCTTTCAAGAATTCCTCATCCCGAGGAAGCCAGAACTGATCCATTGTCCTCGTTTGAGTCAGACGAGATCCGAGGATTGACCCCCTGACATCGAGGTGGTGAGTAGGCCGGTAGTGGTGTTCTGGGTCGTGTTCCTGACTAAATCAAGGGCCGATCCCTGAGGACCCAATGAGGTACTACCTCATCCTCTCCCATTCTTCTTCCCCCACCTCGGTGATGCGATGAGGATAAGAGAACTCCAACCCTGCTGGAGGAGCCATCTCTGCCACGACCGGCTCTTTCTCCCGATGACGGGACGACTCAGTGAGGTTAATGGAAGCCCCCTCTTCATCCGCGAAGGCTGCGACATCGACCCCAACCTCTTGTTGAGGAACCTTTGCCTCCTCTTCTAGGGTAGACTCATCCACCTGGATGATGTCTGTCTCGGCCAACTCGGCCGTCGCCCGAGGCTCTTGCTCCTCATCTCCACAATCTCCTCCTCCGCCTATGGATTAAGGTGGCGGGAGACTCCACCTCAGTCTTCTCGGCCTCCAATTGGGCCAAGTCTTAGCGGGGATGCTTCTTTGGCCTTGGTGATGGCCCCTCCTGGGGTCGGCAAGAGGAGCGGTCGACGCTATCGCTGCTTTCGCTATTCCCAAGATCAAAGCTGAAGCCATCTCTTGTTCCCTAGTGGTGGGAGGTACGACCGAGATGTTGGCCACCCGCAGGATTGAGTTGTCAAACAACTGCTCCACCCTGCGTGACCTAGCATACGCCCTGATTTGATCCAGAGCATCCCTCTCAACATCAAACAAATCATCAGATATTAGCACCTCCTTTCTTATCTCGGGCTAGTTTGAACAATCTAGTTCCAAGTCATCCCCCACGACCCAGACAAACTTCTCCTCCCAATCCTTGCTCGAGTCAGGGAGGCCAGTGATAAACTTGTACTTGCCAACCATTTGGAAGTGAAAGTGGGTCTCGGTCTGGTTCACCTTGACACTTACCAGACGACCCAGCACTTTCAAAGATGGTTTTATTGCCAACCAATGGCAGATCACTACGAACCTGTAGATGGTCAAAACATATTTTCACTGAAGGTCCAAGAAGTGAACAACCATGGGCTAAACACTTCAAATGGGCCCAAAGTCAAGCTCACAACAAGCTGCAGCAAAGGTCACCTGATGGTTGAAGAGAACCTCGCTAAGCGACTTATATCAACTCGACCAAGTCAGATACGAGTTGACCCCCCGCAACACGCTTCTGATCAAGTCAAAAGATGTCATTAACTCGCCAAGCCTAGAGTCGAATTCTGAGCTAAATTTGAACTCATAGGTGAAGTTCACCAACTAACGAACTTCGCCCACATAGACCAAGTCATCCACTTCTGAAGAATACGTGCCCACATTAGAAGCGACCCTCGCCCACATCTGCAGCGACCTTCACCCACGTCTTCAGCAAACTTTGCCAAGCCCGTGAAATTCGCCTAAATAGCCATTTCAAAACTATAATTTTCAGCTCGAAAAATAGGTATAGAAAAGGAATAAATCAAACTAGAACGACACTTATATAAGTTCGAACTTGGATCAGGTACGACTGGTTCCCAAGCTCAATCTCAATAACTTTTGTAGCCCAAATCTAGTTGGGCTTTGAATTACATGTCCCTGCCCGGATAATAAGATGAAAATGGTCAGGCGGAGACCAAATTCAAAACATATAAATATAAAAAATTTAACGGCATATTCTTTTTAAGACCCTGTTTCGATTCAAGGGCATAGGGACGAAAGGAAACTAAGGGAGAGACCATTCACTCAGTTTAGGTAGGTTTTTAAGGAGTGCAATGTTCTGCCTAGTTCCCCTAAGTTCGCATCTCCAACAATAGAAAAAAATTTCCCCTTTAAATCCGGATGGAACCTAGGGGAAGAGAATCTTTTTTACTTTCCATTGTCTTTCTTTCATGTTTTCCCTTAGGGGGTGCTAGTCAATTGGGACATTTTCATACAAAATGGGATAATTGTTAAAGTGGAATAATTTTTCGCTAGTGGAATATTTTAGTAGGATAAATAAGAACAATTTTGTGAGGCGGGATATTTTAATAAAATAATGTGGGATAAATTTTTATAGTCATGAAATATATATTTATGCATTTTGAAGATATAAATACTATTTATGTATTTTAAACTTACTATTATTGATTGATAATTGCTTACGAGAATGTTCTTAACTATTAAATAACTTTTGGTTAGACTATAAGATATTGACAATTATTATTAGAATGATGGTCTAATGATGGTGATAACCATAATAAAAAAGAAGTAAAGAAAAAAATATAAAAAATAAAAAATAACAAAATAAATATGAGTTCTAGTTTTTTACCACATAGTTCCAAGCTAAAACTTGGAATACTTTGAGGGACTAAAATTCTAATTTTTGTAAAGAAAAATAAAAAAAGTGGGATAATTTTGTACCATTATCCCAATTCTAGTTTTGTTAGAGTTCTAATTGACTAACACTGTAAAATTTTGTTCTAGTTTTAGTTCTATGTGACTAACACCTTAAAATTTTATCTCACAGATTATCCCAGTTTAGATTTTAAGTTCTAGATAACTAACCCCCTTAACTTCTCCTACGTCAATGAAATCCTAACATGTATGCTCTAAACGTTAATAGTTATATTAGGAGAAGATAAAACTTGAAAGGAAGCATACATATAAAATGCATTGATATTTATTATTTACAAAAATATGTTCCTTTTTCTTTTGAGAATATGAAAGTTATTTTATTTTATTTTATTTTTTCAATTGATCCCTTTAATTTGGAAGACCAGCAGCTACTACAAATCACTAAGGCTCCGTTTGGCAAAGGGTTAATGAAGAGGGATTAAGGAGAAGAATTAACATAGTTAGCCCATTTGATAATCCGAATGACTAAATTATTAATCCGTTATATAAGCTTTATTTTAACTCTTATGATCATTTTCAGTGTTTGGGAATAACAAGGATTTTGGCTATTTTCTTTATAATTAGAGGGATTAGCTCTTAATCCTTCTAAATAGGAGTATTAGTAAACCCCTCATTTTGAGGGGTTAACTCATTTTACTCCCTCTAGAGGGGTTAGCTTAATATTTCTATATATTTTGTGTTTGGAAAATTATAGAAGGTTAATTCACTTTAACCCTTATATAGATTTTTTGTTTTTGACTGGTTAAGAATGGGTTAAATCTCTTTAACCTCTCTCTTAACGTTTTGTCAAACGGCAGCTAACAATTTTTTTCTTGTTCTGGGAATAGACGTGAGCCTAAAACTTATTGATAGTATATTTAATAATTACAGAGATGTGAGTACATGAGATTGGAGGGGTGAGAATAACCAGAAATTCGCATAGGGTCTTTTATTTTTATATAGGGGCATGTGGTCAAGCAATAACTTCACAAGAAGTGATGTGGTCTTCCTGATAATTCTTACTTCTGACTCTTTCAGTTCATGGCATTCTTTTGAATGAGCCAAAAGTTGTCATAACCGCACTATTCCATTCATTTTTTTTTCTACAAATCACCAAGATAAGAAAGAACCTTTGAGTCCCTTTCAGTCTTCTTCAAAGGAACATGCTCATTATGTTGTGCGCTCATTATGTTGTGCGCAGGGAGCTTAAAAGTCAAATAGTGCATGAATAAAAACGAGAAAGATCACAACCAAAACACAAGCATAAATCATAATCACAGTAAGACAAACGAATTTTACGTGGTTTGACAAGTTGTTTACGTCCACGGGTAAGGAGGGGGGAGTTCTTACTATTAGAGATGAAGAGAAATACAAATAGGGTTACAAAATCACTCAAAACCCTAAAGAAATGCTCTCTAAACCACTCACAATTCTCTCACAAAAGGATGCACAATACTCTCTCAAAAGTCTGCTCAAATCGTCCTTGCTTAACCCTAATTAATCAGGTTTAGGGTTATATATCAATACAAAACAACAC